CAAACCAGTGGGGTACGAGCTCTTCTGAACTACTTCAGCGATGACAGTAATTGAATATCTGTATGATTTTCCGGATTTCCGGAATATGTGCTCTGTGAGTTACGGAAACTCCGAATTCAGATAAGCATCACTGTGTGATTTTTTTTTGTAAAAATTCTATGTCAGATTGAGGAATTGTTTAACTGTAGAACAGTTAATTGAAGATGCCTTACATTCTGGACTAAGAAAGACTCCATCAAGTTAGAGGATGGTCACAGCACTCCTTGCTCGGATACATATTACCACTCCTGTTCTTAATTTTTCCTGGGACACAGTGTTTAAATGAATAACCTTTTTGAAGTTCACCGTCAGGACAAACTGCCTTACAACCTGCATTGAGTGTGATTTTCAACGCAGTATAGCAGTTAAATGAAGTTTTATCCGAGTTTATCACCCGGGTTATCTGTAGATGAGTTAGCCATTCAGGTAGTTCGCATTTACGTATCGATCTTACGTTGCCCGAGCAACATCTGTCACGTGAGGAAATTCACTGTCAACTTAAGTGTCCATGCTCATTGTAGACTTGATGGTTGATGTCCATAGGACAATGCTGAGAAATTTTAAAACACAGGCCCAATAAAAATTCAGTACATTTTCAGAAAAAGAATTTCATTTAGGATAAGTGCTCATATTGCGATAGGCCGTGACTTACAACAATTTATTAAGATGGTAGACAACATGGATACTTTACGCTCGAGTGTCAAATTATGACTAAACACTAGTTAACCAAAACAGATAAATATTGGTTAAATTTGTAACAGCAGGTATACCTATCGGAGTATAGGTTTTGCTCATATTTCACCGCGGAAAGCTTCTGGTAGTCACACTTGTTCAGATCTGGCAGCGACTACAGAACTCTATATTTTGACTTTCTGACTGCGGGAGAAAATCATTATTTTACCTAGCCCGCAGACTTTGCTTGCTATTTACTCGAATTTTACTTGAGTTAGAAGCCTTACTGCTCCGTTGAGACTTCCAAATCAGCCGAATCTTTCATCAGCAGCACCTTAACTTTCAGTTGTGTTTGTCGCAACACGGAGGCAAACTGATATTCAAATAAGGCATAAGCCTAATCGATTTCGGGGGGATATTTCTACTTGCTAAGCTGCAAGAGGGACAAAAACGACTCAGCTCTATAAGTAGTGTTAAAGACACTGTTATGGTTGAAAAGAACCACTCCAGTTGCTATTTCTCAAATGGAAGTTTTACCTCCGAGTCATTGTAATACTCTATGCTGACCAAGGTAGTTAGAAGGTACACTTTGTTCACACATTTAAAATGCTGTTCTTTTATATGCAAGTCAAGGTTGTGAAACTTTAATGGAAGCCGAAAAATACCTTGAAACATCGTCTCTCAACTACAATTAGTTTCGCCCCCTTTGAATATGAGGGTTGTGTTTTTTAATAGAAAACGGGTTTCTATTTTAATCATGGCTCCTCTAATGAAGTACAACCCGCACTATCATGTATACGTGCCAGAATCTCCATCTTCACTTGGATTTCTCTCATTTTGCTCATAAAGATATTGATATCTAAAACATGCTTATTTTCCGTTTTTTTGGTTTTGGAGGGTCCAAAAGATACGCTGCATTTTGCAATTTTTAAATTAGGTATTTGTCCCCTATCACCGCCAACTCCAGATACCTGTTACCATACGGTATCTTGGTTGTCATTAATCTACAAATTTCACGTATTTCCTCAGGCACAAATATCAGACTTTTTCGTGTTCTCCCCAGAAAAGGACACGTAATTCCTGTCCCAAATCACCTATTGGAACACTATGGTGCCAGAGAATAGGTGAAAAATGGTGTGCAATCGATTGAGAACAGATATTCGGTTTTAATACGTTGGCCCATCTTAAACGAATGGAATACGGTATGTTTTGAGCTATCCAGTGTTCAAGGCAAGACAAATGCGCAGTTTCAACTATCAACAAATTGATTGGTGGTTAGTGATTGCCCAGCTTGCCATCATTTTTCATCTATACAGTGGTTGTTTAAGATGGGAAATGCGTGTCCGTTACTGGGGAGCTCAGAGCTGTTGATCTTGGCAGAACACGAAGAAAGTCTGATATTTGTCCCTGAGGTAGTACTTGACATTTTTTGGATTAATGACAACCAAGACGTCGTACAGTATCAGGCTTATGGAGTTGGCGGTGACAGGGTTCAAATACTTAATTAAAAGAGGAAAAATACTGACGACCTTTTGGACTCTCAGGAACGTGATTACCGAATTTCTTTGGACTAACAAATAGCCGGTCGGTGTTACCACCCACAACTATCGGCGTGCCTTCCCATTGTTTACCCTCCTGGGTAGAAGAGTGGGTGACAGTAAGCTAACAAACATATTCCCTCTTACTGTAAATCTTGCGGCGTAATAATGTTCAAATGCGCGCAGCTTTCCTATAAATCAGAGTTAGACCGGCTTACACTACACCTTCTGGAGTCGCTGACCATTTCATGTGTCACAGTTCCATCCCCTGCGCCATTCCACCCCTCCCCACCCCGATCTGACGTCCTCACACTATTTGGTGATAGAAAAGGGTATTTCTAGTGTAATTTAGCCGTTTGGAGGATGCTTTTATTAGTGAGAGAATCGTCACTGTTTTGTAGCCCCTAGTTTACTTAAAATCTCGGGAGCAATTCGGCCTTGTGGTCTAATTGACTAGCTCAATTTCGGCTTTATTTTCACCAAATCCGATAATGATAGCTTGTGCTAATCCTTTTCTTCTTCCGAAGGGCGATGAAGGCTTGCATTCCATTCACCCGTATGCACTATCTCCACCGGCTCTGTTGAAACAAACTCGAAACCTCACCGAAAACAATAAAACGGTCTATGAATCAAACGTCCTTGAAATTGAGGAGGATGGTGTTAGTACAGGTTTTTGTGATGGTCGTTGGTTCGTCCCTTGAAAGATGCAAGTTGTTTGCAAATGTTTCATCATCAAGCAAGCTGACATCATCAGTGCGACCGGATTGGGTTCCATTCGCAACGTACTGATGTTATCCACTTATCTAGTGATGAAACTTTCTTGTCGAACCATCCTGCCATCAGATAAGTCAATAGAAAACAAAACATTTTTTTCTGTACTCGAAGTGGCAACTGGCCCTAGACGGCAAACTGTGTAAAAGTATACGACTGGCAGAGTGCTATATCGGAGCCCACAGAAAAGACGTCCGTGAAAAGCAGAACTGCAAAGAAACGCCGCAAAGCGATGCTTCTAAACGGTGACACTGTTGCAAAGTATAAAAGCGTTTTCTCCTCTAAAATGCCTGCTATTCCACTCCAGTTACATCGCGAAATCTCTCGAGGTAGACCATGCATTTTTGTGTTTACTAATGTTCTTTGAAAAATGTTGTCAGTCCCATCAATATTGTCACAACCAGTTTGCTTTATTGCTGCCTTTCTAGACAATACTGTGGAAGACAGCAGTTGTTTTTTATTTCGCATAAATACCTGCATACCTGAAGGTCATGTCCAACAAACAGTGTATCATCCTCGTGTGACCTAGCCAATTCGATCAAATGAAACGTGTCCAGAATATTGTTGACAACAGAGCATAATCAACGCAAAGCATGTTTAGAAAGATATTCACTGTCTTGTTATGCATTAGTCATTCCCCCGAATCTCGTTTTCACTAATCAATAGGAGACGGGTTTTATCTTTTCGACTAGACATGGCTGTGTATGTATATAGATAAAAAATGTTCCTGAGCTCGTATCTTAGCAACTATAAAGTACGCATAGTGCTGATTGGCTGGAATGTGTAATTAGGTGTCTGGTCGATCGACACAACGGTAGGTTGAGGGGTTGAGTGAATAACATATATTTTAAGTCCCAAGTTTTCTGTTTTTTAGTCTTACCGGTTCACACACTAGCAAAGGATGAATCGTTTGATGATATGTAACTGCAGATTCACTTTCAGTATACCGACTGACGACAAATTGAAGCACGTTTCGCGTACTCGAGCAGTTGGCTGTTGTCGAGTTTCCAGACTTAATGCAAACTTGTCTAGCAAACAGAATTTGGTTAATTAGCCATCATCTTAATAAGTGATTAATGATGTGATATAAAGATAAAGAAACGCCTTTTATCCAATTTTTTGCTGGAAAGGTTTCTAGATTTTTTTTATTTTTAGCGACAGTGAAGTACTTGATCATTTTGTGTTCTAAGTTTTAATCCTCAAACTGTGTCCTACCATTACAAATTTCGTTTCTCATATCGTCTCCTATTTCAAATGCAGAATCACAGAATTTTTATGTGATCCACTCGTACCATGGAGAAATAAATGAATATGCATTATAGAGCCTTCTTTAGAATGGATGCGAATGTGATGTCCACAAAGCTGCTTGCGATGTGACGCTGCTACTGAGGATGCATGGATGGTTGCTCAAATCTGTCTCGGAGCGATATCTGGCGACTACATTTTAACTGGTTCGCAAGTAACTGAGAGGGATCTAATCTCTAAAGAATGGTGCGATGACAGTTTTCAAGATGACTTTATCTTACTCAAAGTAATAAGACGGTTGGCAGTTTTTCATTGTCCTCAATTCAATACTGCACACACCCACACCTACAAGTTCTGGCCACAGGGTTGGCATGACCAAAAATGCTGTGTACCTGCACATTATTGTACTAACAGAGTATGATCAGCGGCTTTTTCTCTGTAAAGACACTCACTGCACGCTGTTTAATTGTTTCATACATTCGGAAACTGACTAACACAGCGGTATCCACCTGTTATTCAAACTTGAATGCAAGCTTCGTCTGTTGACCATTAAAAGTATCTGGGTTTGTTACAAATTTTACTTATTTGAGTGAATTTTAATCCCTCTGTGTTTGTCCCACCTTGTGAATATGTAAATGTACTTTCTTCTTCATTATCAACTTACAAAGTGTGATAAAATTTTTAGCTTGAAAGATTCGACTGCAACTTTACAGCTGACTTATGACTTTACCCTAGATATTTACCCGGCCACACTTACAAACCTACTTCCGGACCCGGATAAGGATATTGTTGCTCAACTTACCCGGCCACCACTTGGTAACCCACCACGGTCAATTGCACCTACTCAACAATGGCGTTTCGAAAGCTCGGCAAGTAGTGTCTGGGAGGTTGATTCGTTACGGTTTGGCGATGACGCCCAGGTCAATGCCTTCGATGCAGAGTTCACGGTTACCTTTTGGCTTGTGAGACAGCCTGGTGAAATTCTCCCACCGGATGCCACAGTGGAGGACAGGGAGGAAACCGTTATTTGCAGTCAGGATCAGGATGGCAAGTGTTTTATTCGCAAATGTTATGTATCAGGGATATCCTTTTCCCTTAACTTACTCGTAGAAAAATTACCTTAAGCCGTGTCCGCCAACTCGTTGTGTCAGGTCAAGTTCATTCGAACTGTATGGGATGGGACTTAACGGCAAACAATCTGCATACTAAACAACAATCCAAGTAGAAAATGGGACGCTGTAATGAGCACACGGACACAGTTTTCAGTTTTGCGTGGAATTAAAAAAGATGTGTCTGACTGACCGTTTTGAGTGTCGACAACACAATTCAAGAAAGCAATGGACGACCTTCTGTCAAATCTCTATCGATACTCGAATGTTCGCCAACGTTCTTGTATGCTCACCAAGACTTTGATTACAGTTCCACCACCTTTGCTTAAATAAAACCGACGTTATATTGAAGCATTGGATTTATGCCTTCGCCTGCATTTGTGTTGCATCGTGAATCTATCTAGATGACGTCCTTTAGGTTGACCCATCAGAACATCATATGACTTTTTGTGGTTCCATATTTCACGAATGTAACAGATAGCGAATCGTATACTGACTGAGCACAGTCATTTTTCCGCATGAGGTCACCTAACAACTAAACCGCAACTGCAGTTTCCATAAATGTCCTCTATGTGTGGCAAGAGATGCATTCCGAAAAACTTTGACTACCAGCAGTTTAAAACAGAAAACAAGGTTATCTTTGGTTGGTGACGATTTAGCGTGTTCAGGAATGTTGGAACCACATAAGGCTGATAGCCTAGACTCACTTCTCCAGCGAACCTAGTCTGATACCGAGCACTGACTTACGCACCAATGGAGGCGTCTGAGTGTTACACCACGAGGACTGAGGAGTCAATCGTTTAAAGCGCCTAAATTTTTCATATCTGTAGAGTATTTTTAAGCTGCCTACTTCAGTAATGTTTGCTTTTGACAGCATTAAGGATGAAAGTTAGTGAGTGTTGTTCGTGCCCGTATATTACTTCCACTGTCGGTACAGTCCCGGATTATGCGGCTTCCATGATATGCAAATCAAACAAACCTCATAATTATTATTCAGATCGGAGAAAAAGGTTGGGAAATATGAAAGTGTAAAAATCCTGCCAAACAAAGGATAACTTTCTGTGTCTTGTTGTTAAAAGTTTTCGCAAGCGCATGTTCCCCAAGTAGCAAGAAAACTTTTTTTGTGAAACCCCGGACCAATAATGTGCCTTCAGATATGAGTTCATCTTCCAGATACGTGGTAAAACTAAGTGATGATGGATAGCAGGCAGCTCTGACGAAACGCGTCTTTGGAAAAGTTTAGCTGGTTTAATTCACACCTTTAAGCAGCCTGAGTTGTGGAAATTCCAGGGTACGGAGATCATCAAAATTTTCAAGGATAGCTTCTATATAAATTCATGGAGAAGAGCCAGCATTTTACGGAGATGATGGTTCCTTGGAAGTTAATGGCAAGTCCAACAGCTGGTCGGTGGTAAACGTGACGTCGCTTAAGCTTATTCGCTTTGTTAAATTCAGCAAGTAATTTGGTGTTACCGCACGGTGGCCATTGTGGTACAGTGCTAAATTAATACGCGTTTTTTTACGGTTGTCTTTGTTTGGGATAGTGCCAGAAGACCGACTGGTGTTCCAAGTCAAAGTCTTTGCCCGAAAAGCTTGAATATAGGAAAGTATAGAGTAGTACGGGGCTATCAATTTTAGGAAACATATTTTAATCCAAAGGTCCCGTCTGGTGACCAACTATTATCAAGAGTACATAAAGGCTGAATGAGTATCGTTTAGTAAAAATCAAGTGGTCGCTTATACATGCACACCATCGCACCACAATAAGACAGTCTCTTGTGACGAAAAGTTGTCCTGAGACGGCTTGTCTCTGTGATATTTTGGAAAAAACTTTCAACAATAGCTACCAATGATGAGCTCCAAGGATCTGTTTTCATTCGTAACCAAGATGGATTTATTGACAGATCACAAAATTAGAGAGTTCTATGCACTCTCCTTATTGAATTATCAGGAGTGTAGGCAAAAACGTCCATTAAGTGGTTTGTCCTACGTAGTTGCTTAAGAGCTCAGCTCGATTCACACGATGGCCTTTGTGTTACTGTCTCGCTCCAGACTTTTTGATGTCACCTAAACAGTACTCACTGAGATCGCTTTAAATTCACCAGAAACTAATTGTCATGCACATGTAGTAGTAGTCCACAAATAAAGGTTCATTCAGTATACGTCAGTTTCTCAGATAAAAAACCGTGCACTGAAACACAGTGGTTTCAGCCGCTATGGCCTGTTTGCCTATATTTTAAAAAAACAAGAGACGGAGAGCCATGCGTTGGAGGTGATGGACCAACCTGCTGACTACACATAGATTTATTTTCCAGTGTAACAGTGAAGGTAGTGAAGGCAATAGATTTGAGGAATACCGCCGTATCTTGCAAAGTCGCAAACAACTGACTGTCTTCATCCTGGGGTACCTATTCGGGCAGACTGAAGTTACCACTGAGACTGGATTATGTAGTGTTTCATGAGTGTATGGTAGATCGACACTCGACAAGTTACGGGTATACGAGCGAATCCGGCAATCAAACAGTTACAGTGCACTAAGAGAGAAGACACTTCTTCAAGTGCCTTTTCTTGCTTTTTCCGCACCAAAGAAACATAATTTTAGGCCACATCTGTGCATATCAGCTCTATTTCAAGTTCTTTGCCAAATTTCAATCAGGGAATGAAGTGCTCTAAGTAACTTAGCCTTACTGAAACACCATGTCCGTTTGTTCATTCTACACGGACGTTGAGTAAATTTACACCAACTCAATTTAATACAGCTTTCATAACAAGAACAATATTTCCTTACATGCACACGCACTCTTACTTTCCGTTCCCATGGGAATTTTGGCATAATCTTCCACAGCAAGGAGCAAACACGATACTTCCTCCTTGTAGAAAGATTACTCAATTACCTCGGAATGAGAAATCCAAGTGCTCATAGTCTGAACACATTGACAACCGAAGGGTTGAAAATGAAATACCGATATCTTGTCTGACAGTCACAGATTCTGTCAACTGGGCCACGGAGAATCTCACCTAACAAACCACACTTATAAAGTTCAATCTCCCATGGGATGTACCACCTAACTAACAAAAAAGCAGCCGAGGAATTTTAAAACCGTCAGTAGGCCATTTATGTAACTTCGAAGATAGGACGGATGTTGGCATTGTCCACACACAAAAATGCCCTAAGGTTTCGCTAAATTCCTGAATGCGAATTTCGAATAAATCTAGCACTATGTTCATTGTTATGTGTGCCCGAAGTTCTCATCTTAGGATTCACCAAGTGCTTTTCACCTTACATAGAGCCTCCGAGTCATTTTACTCGCTTACAGTCTTCAACCACATTGTTAGAGGGATAGATAGTAAACGAACCTTGTTCTACTTCCACGTTAGTCGCGGTTGTCACACACTTGACACAAAGACCTGAAGATTGAAACGCATCGGACTACGTTTGGCCTGAAGATAAGCCCAAAAGTTCCCCCGTGCACAAAACGCGCATATAGTTTGTCCATTTGCTAACATCTGTATTGTTATTTATACAACTTGAGTTAGCACATTGCATTTCATACATGCGTGAGATAGCGTACGTGTCCTCCACCACAATGAGGCGATAATTTCGAACATATGTGTACAGTAGAAAAGTATGAAGAATAACTTGAATAAAGTCTCATCTGTATCGCATATAGCTAAAGAAAAAAAATACTGTGCGGTGATCGAAATATATTGTGATACTTGACAAATCGTAACCTGTCGACACCATCGGTTGCTAGCTATCAAATGACTCACTTCTGTTGAACAACATTGAAAAGTGAATTTCAAAGTTTTTGATAGCAGTTACTTTTATGGATATAAAAAATTTATGCAGTGTGAAAAAAAGGTCGAGGACCAAAAGTTACATAAGTATTTTGATTCCAAATTGGCCAACTAAAAATTTTACTTACCATTCTGCTGTACGTAAACCTCACTAAGCCTGTCGGTCTCAGCTAAAAAAGTTTAGACTGTTGCGATTGGTTATCCTAAGTTCGCAAAGTCTTGCGAGTAATTTTTGTTTGTTTTGGACGCACTATAAGCACCTTTTTTTAAATCAAGAGAGCATATGCTATATCCAGATGATCCATTCTAAAACACTATTCGAAACACACTCCCCATCTCTTGTCAGAAGTCAACTGGCGTTTCTTCTCGATTAGCTTTCGCGAGTGTCGCCTCATCGTCCGTTTGATGGCTTCATTTCAATACCAAATGAGCGATGTTGACAATGAACCCAGGAAGAAGACGGTTTGGATGTTCGGCCCACTTCCGGATGAATATTGCCGACCGAGTGATTTGAGTCGCGTCACTTGGCATCATTACGCAATTACGTTCAGTCGCAGTCCTTGGGCATCAACTTCGGAATTTATCAGCTTACAGATTGACGGACAGGATTTGGGGATGCTGGGAGTTCCGATAGAGACACTCATGCCTGCCAATCCACCATATATTCCATCCGAAAAGAGAGCGAAACCAAGGTTAGCATCTCCTCATAAGGGTGCTCTTTTAAACCTTCAACCTTTATGAAATCTCTGGCATACTCTGTACTCAGGTGTTACTTGAAAGATGTTTGAATGCTCTACGCTCAAGTTAATCTAAACGGATGGTTACAAGCTTTGGTACAGTTTTAAAGGGGAATACTACATGACTAAACAAATTACGTCTATGCGTGTGTCGAAACGGATTCGTAAGCATTTCATTTGCTCAAAACGTATTGAGAACCTCACACGTGACTACATTTGACTTTCTCAGTGGACGTCTTGCATATGCAAATTAGAGTCGGCATTGACGCATGCACATTGACCGTGGATTAGATTTGTGTTTCAATATAATTTTCAGGCCATATAGACTTCCTGCACAATGGATGAAACAGATTAGGATTAGAGGTGCATGCATTCTAATGTAGCTGTGAGAAGTCTGGATTGTGGTATACAAAATTTTTTATCCGGTTTGGTAACCATCCATGCGGTTTCGTCTTATGCATGCAATTTGAAACCCTCGTTTCTATCAATTAAAGTCATCCGTGGCTACCTGTCTTGAACATTGCGTGAATGTATCAGATTTGTCGACGTTTTTGTGGTTCGTGTGTTGGTCGAGTAACCCGACATTACTTAGGCATCCTGTTCCAGTTACAGATCAGTATTTTCACTGGGCATTTATCCGGCATCCAGTTCGGTCACATCATTTTCCTCCTGAAAGGTAACGACCTATAGGTGTTCATTTATAGGCACATGCCTCCGAACGATCTCATCTCATAGGATCCCGTTAAGTGTGGCAAGGTTACTCCAACATTACACGTCTTCACTGTCGAATTCGAATCATTACTGTCGTTGTATGGGTGTTCGCATACTTTCACAAGATGTCTGCACCCATACTATACTTGTGTGATCACGAAGCAGAACATCCGTGCCAAGTCTTCATTGAATTAACTAGCATGCGGACGGCACCTTTAATAGCCCAGTGCGAGTTATCCTCCATTTATGGCGGGCACATTTCTTTTTGTTAGTAGTGTGAATATGTTTTGAAATTTTCAAGTGGGATTTTGTCTTGTAAGTGAGTCTAGTCTGTGCCGCAAGGCCAAGAAGCACTTCGTGATGTTTCATTCTTATTGCTTCACAGAGGAGTCTGTCGTTAAGCAAAACAAGTAGAGATGCGGCTTGAACAGGGAAGTGCTGTCCGAAGCTACTCCACCTTAGAACGAAACCTACCGGATATCGAGATATGTGAAAGATGATAAAATTGCATTAGTCATTCAGCCTGGCAGAAGGTCTAATTAGGGCCGCGTATCGAGACTCGCACAGCTTGGCACAGAGCCTGACGTCAACTCCGTTCGCCATCCATCGGAGTCGAGCTATGTTTAAAAAGACTTGGTGTAGACTCTGACTACACCACTGAATAAGATTTTCTTTGGAATTCCAGTGCATTCAAGTTGGGGCTTCACAGAGTTGACCTTCAATAATCATCACAGGAATAAACAGGCGAAAGGCTGGCCTCACGGAAAATAGGCTTGGTGATGTATTATGTTGAACTGGATAGCGAACGTCTTTGCTGCAGCAACATTTTTTTTTTTTTTTCAAGATGTTTTGTCAGTGTTCCAGGGAATGAAATGCCATTGGAAACTGCAGGTGTGTATTACGAAAGGTCTTGTTAAGACTGATTCGATACAGGGTGAAACAAAACACTGAAATTTAGGGCACACACGACTACTTCGCTAGTACATTGAGACCCTCTTATAAACTTGCGTGTGCTGCTCGGTTAGCTGAAAAGTGCCCATAATGACTGGTCTTTTTAAGTATTTCCCCAAAATCTACTACCGGTAGCGCCACTTTCGCCTACTAAAGGCGAAATCGCAATTCTAAATGGATGCCGACTAGTGGTAGAATTGATCCGAAAAATCAGCTTTAAATGTTCTCTTGAGGAAATCTACACAACCCACGGCCGGTTTTGCTCTTTTTGGGGTTCATCAGGTGAGTTTAATCCGCAGGTTTCCACCAACTTCAACACGAATTGAACGAAATTCATTCGCATACCAGTTTGTTTTTCAAATGGACTCACCTGAAACCCAGCTGACTCTGTCATTCATGATATACTTCTCCACGTGAATGAGCCGCACCAGGTCGTCTCATGTTCTAGCTAATGCGATATTCGCTATTCTGGAGGCTCATCAAGTAGGCGCATTCAGTCAACCTTATGTTCAACTTTAGCCAAATTCTTACGGGACTTTTGAATTATACTCGTTTCTACAAACCTTTGACCTAAAACCATGTTGATGTGCCAACGAGCATAGTTCGCAAATTTTGCACAACTTGGGTTCAAGTAGAACATAAGGTTTGCCGAAAACCGGAGACTGTGCCTACGTGATGATTTCAAGTAGACCAAAGCGGACTTTGGGCCACCAAAGGGCCTTCAGCAATCCTATAAGCAACCTTCCTTCAAGACAATGCACTGAGACGTCGCAGATAGCGTACCAGCTGAAACATGAGACAACCCGATACAGCACTTTTGGTCCAAGAACAGCATCATAAATTGGAGATCCAGCTGGAATTCAGTTAGTTTTCTTAATAAAACAATTTTTTCTACATAAATGTTCTTTCACAAAGCTTCAAGTAGTTATAAAGTCCCTTTTTCGGCGCCTCACCTTTCCGCACCACCCGCTTCCTAAACAAAAAGATTCCAACCAGACCACGAATCTAGAGTGCAATCAAAATCTATCTTGATTTTGCATGCCAATCTTACTGGTATGCAAAACCTTAGTTCAAATCAATAGTGCAGTCATGAATAACCGGGAGTAACCATCATCCCATAAATGTCAATGTTAGCGTTAATAAAAACTACAACCGTAATCCTGATACATACGTTCATTTGTCGTTAAGCGACAGTGAATCAACTATACTGAATCCTTCGGAGAATCCACCACAATAACTACTGCGCTATTGGAGTATTGTACTTTCCAGCTCCGATGATCGAACATCCATGAGAAGTAAAGGCGTTCACCTGTCTCTGAATATGGCAGTTCCTCGTAGGAACTACTGTGAATTTAACTATATGGCAGTTGACAAGGTGATCCACTGTTTCATTTGATGCGACTTTTGGAACTCGGGAAGGAACAGTTATCAACCTATCACCATGCAAAAGTGTGTCGTACTCTTCCCTCGGATTGTTTACCCCTATCAAAATACTACTTGCCAGTAGACAAAGAACCTAATGCACCTGTGGCGCTGCAGAAATAAAGATGACAAAGCTATTTTCCCCATATTAAATTTTTATCACAAACCTTTGGCAGAATCTCCTTGGTATTTTTATAATTTACCAAGATGGGTTCTCTTACAGGAGAATAGAACAGCTTGGGCTAGAAGCAGGGGTGTTTGTTCCAACCTTTCAGCTTTCTTGAAAATAGGCTTAGGATAAATTTCAATCAAGTGGGCTTATACACTTTACGGATCATTTGAGCCGGCATTCCCACCCGACTATACTCCATTTAACGCTTCACTGGTCGCTTCTTAACTCAATCGGTTAGATCCGGTATCAGCAGTTTTCACATCCTGGCACGTGCACCCCTTTCATAGTGTTTATTTGCTGTCAGTGCTAAAACATATTTATTCCAATGAACCAAATGAGTCGCGAATCAAGTGTGGGCATCTCCAGTGCAGAGTTAGCTGGTCGAACATTAAACTGCTTGGGCGAGAATCTCTCCAGTTCATGAAAGAAGAAAAATTCTCTCTGGGCATTCTGTTTCCAGTTACACCTCATAAGGTCAATGGGAATTCTGAATAGTCCAATACCGGTTTCGCACTTTTTATTGCCCTCAGGATATATTTACTGGAAATGGCAAGGATTTAATTTAGTTTTGTAAGGTCCCCATAGAAACTAACAGTTCTGTTCATCTTTTTTTGTATAATTAGTTTGTTGTCTAGACTTATTCAACCCCATGCCGCACAGCTATCGCATTAAACTTGAGAGGATGACCATATAAAAGCTAGAGTAAATAGTTATCAATAGCTGTGAGGTACCGAAAAGGAAAGAAATTGAAAAGAAATGTTCTGGAAAGCCAATTTGATGCAGAGATTAATTCAGAGGTTAGTTGTCAAGGCAAAGCATTCTGTTACGTATTTGAAGTAAAACGGAATAGCAGTGAAAACAACATGATAGAATACGTGTGCAAAAAAACATTCCAATGCGATTACCCGAGACGGAATTAATCCTCAAAAGCGTATAAAAAAGGAAGAAGCCATGATTTATTGACGAACGGAGTGAAGATGCATTGACACCTACGTTCTTTACTGTTAAGGAGCCTGAGCTAGATTGATCATCACCGATAGCAAATTATAGCGAACAGTAAAATGCTCGATAAATTTTACTGGCTAGAATTTCATATAAAACGTCCCAACACTTCAGCGGATTAAGTTAGCTGATTCGGAAACCAACCAACACGGTGAATTACTGAAGATTTCGATACCTGAAAACATACTTGTAAACAGTTACACAGTTTGGTCAAGAAATTATGCGGCAAGTGAGGTTATCATAACACTCTGTCTGGATTACCCGAGTTGCTTTTTACTGGCATCAAAGTGTTCTTAAAGTATTCTCACCCATTAACGAATTTTGAAACCAGACGCGCAAGATTAGAGGCATAGCCCTAAACCTCTGAGTAGAACCAATAACAAACAAGCCGAAGAGCGTAGAAAGTTGATATTTTTCCTTGCGCTCAGATGACCTAAGGAGATAAGGCCTGCGAACAATCGTGTGAAACTTCTTTGTGCTTGCTCTAGGGAGTAGAATTGTGCGGTCGCTTGTCTTTTCTGAGGACGTAGGCGGACTTAGAAGTTGGTCAGGGGAACCAGAATACGGTGGCACACTCGTTTAAAAAAATAACTTATGGGGGTTATACGTTCCGTTGAATCTAAGGTTTACGGGTTGCCTTTAGGTGTGTAGGTCTCCGAAAAAAGCTGTAGACGTAACACACAATTCATTCAGTAGAAGAACATTACAGACAAGGAATTCAGGTGATTCTCCCGTTAAAACCAAACTGTTTTGAAAATGGGTGCATTTGTCAAAAACAAAACTATGTTGCCTGGGAGAGATAGTATGAAAGCTGGGCGAATCTCTTCGATCTTATAACAAGCAGATTGTAACTGCCAGACTGGTTGAAGGTAATAATTTGATGGTCCTGCAGTGCAAATTTTCTCCCCTCACAAACGCACCGTCTCTTTTTGATTTACTGTTTGTTTTTATCAAACTTCAGGCTGTCATCTTGTTTAGTGAGGCGTGTTAGTATTTTGACAAATAAATCTGTTCATTCTGGCAGACATTCAGCGGAAATCAAATCGGAGTTAATCGACCGTACCATCTGTTGTAGAATGATCGGTGACTTCTATCTTTCATTAGCTGATTTCATTCGCTTGCCCCCGGAACACCAAATAATACCCTTGTGTGGGCGAAAAAATTAGTGCTTTGTTTTTGGACTCATACTGCACGGTTTAGAAACTTCCCGGCGTTTTCGCTCGCCAACCGAATGACTCTTCAGGTCATAAGTCTACTAGTTTTTCCTTCACATCACGTTTAAATTTCCCCGAAATATTTGTCCTTCTTGCCTGGTTCATGAGTTGTTTATAACGACAGTGGCATTTACGAAAGACAAACGTGCCTGCAGCTTTTTAAAGACAGAGTTGAGACCGAAATTAACCCAGTCACAAAATTGAGGACTAAGGTGGTTTGAGGTCAGTACGGTCTGGTGCTCTCAGAAACACCGTCACCAACCCAATTCGGGGAAAGGAGGACATAATCATTTATACAAAACTGAATTTGATCCTGCTGAGCCTAAGGAGAGCGCGCTTGGATTATACCTCGTCCAAATAGCCTGGAGCTAAAGAACGACAGCAGTTAATAATAATAATAATAATAATAATAATAGCTTGAACACCAACCCATCTCTACGTTACACCAAGCCCTCTAACTGATAATGTCACCCCCGTTAACGATGAAACGTTCAAAATCAAACTGCCTAGCTCAGCGAACAAACCAGCAACAAATAACTAAGTTGCTGAGATAGAAATGGATCACCTGTTGCAGGCGCATGGCCTGATTGAAATGATCCGGTCTGTGCTTGCGGTGAAAAATATTGTCCCCTCAAGCTACTTCACATAAACAAGTAACATACATTCACTTCCTATTCTAATTCTACATTTTTTTGCCTGGGAGACTTATAAAAGAGCGGTAGTTTGAAATCAATTTCAAAAAGAGCGGACAACATGAACTCCAGTGTATCAAACTGCCCTTATTTAAAAAACTATTTGATTCAGTTGGAGTGACTATTCCAAAAATTGTGAGGATATCTCGCTCTGGTTTTCAAGTGAATGCAAACACCTCAATTTTATCTTTTGCAGCAAAACTGCCCTTACTTTGTGGCATGTGGTTTTAGGACGGGTACTCTATTTTAACTAATTTTGCCAGGTGGAATGTGCTTCGTTCTTTCGACCGGCATCTACAGCCCAGTCTGAAGGACAGCGCAATATGTTCACCATAGTGAAAATTGGAATATTTTCTAGATGATTGATACACTTAGAAAAGCACTCGCACTAGTAACTTATCGGAAAACTGTATTGGCCAAAGCACGCTTCATTTTTTGATGCTCTCAAACCTGAGAGAATTTGCCGGTAACTTTCACTGCTTCAGGCCCCAGTGGTTGATACGAGCTAATCTGTAGGTAGAACTGCTTGTTCACGTGGCCCATTTCAGAGGGATTGTGTGAACCACCCCATTCCCTTTCTTTGCGAGATGCAGGCATTCGTCAGCTAAAGCTTGAATTTTTATTTAACCTGAGCTCGCTGTTTCCCCAGGATCCTGCAGTAGGATCCTTAGACACAATACATAATCTGTTCCATCAGCCGTACTTCGGTGCTGCCATTTTCCTAGGATTTCCAGAGAGAGAAGGGCGCTCTATGTGCCGATCCAAATCACTGCGTTCATTACCATGGAGTCAATATACATCAGCGCAGGGTTGGGAAGCATGCTCCAGCATACATTGTTATCTTTCCTTCTCGGCATCCTCCAAGCCTGGCAAGGGCTTACATTTTGTATCCCAAAGACTGTTCCAGAATCTTGGCCATTCCTGATGATTTTAATATATCATTTTTCCCATTTAAATTTTGGAATTTTTGTCCAAGTCATGACCTACTGGTTGGGCAATGAAATGACGGAGNTCATTACAGAGTGTAACATCAGTCACGCGACCAGCAGTGATACTGCTGATACTGCCACGAGAAAATACGTTCAATAAATCATTCAGCAAAATACGTCTTTGTAGATTAATGCGTCCGATGACTGCTCGCTGTTTCATATTCTCTTGCGTGATGGCTCCGCAGGAATATACTTTAAACCTAAACACTGTACGTAGCAGTCACAAATGTGTTGTTGACAGAGTTGCTAGAGAGAGTGTTGCCAATCTGAGGATTTTGGGATGAGTTCTTGAGGTTTATGATATTGTGTAAGGGCAGATAAGCAAAACTACCGATTGTTCGCCAAGCTTCTCTGAACTGATGGCTCTCCGTCATTCCTAAACTGAGAAGCAAACCTCTTATTCTGCTCGTCAGCATTATCTTATCTGGGCAAGCTCTTTAAATCAGTTTAACCTTGAGCATAGTGAATGTATCTTATAACCCATAGAATATGGTAGCTATTTTCAGAGGTTAAACGTATCTTGTGACGAAAGCCTTCCAGTTTGGGGTTCTTCTATGGGAAAAATTACCGCATTTTAATAAGCTTCACTAACCTGCTTCCGAAAGTGTTGCTGTTGTTTCATCTAGAAGAAATAAAAGCCACTGATCAGGTCAGCAAGATGGTGTCCATTATTGTCTTTCATTCGACAACTGATTTCTTGTCCACTACCTTAAAACCAAAGCAACTCAAAATCCAGTAATTAGAGTGTAGGACGAGTAAATTACGTGCTTCTCGGGGAATAGATACAAGTTCAACAAAAAAACCTCACATTGCCAAAACTCAGTTATGCGTATGAAGCACATTACTAGCGCAAGTCAACAGAATGGTTGGTATTCAGATACTGAATCCCAGACTTGTGCGAGTGGCCTCACAATTCGTAAAATATGTATCAACGTCTTCTTAGTTTTAAAGTTCTTCTCCTATCCTGGTTAGTTTGAGTTGCTTAATCCACAGGCAAGGGTGTAGAAGGGAATTTAATCTGTAGTTACTTGTTGCTCATTAGCTGCACATGGTCTCGATCTCAGCTGAATTCCAGTAGCTGGTTTTTAAGCTGAGCATTCTAACGTAACTCGACAGGTCCGCTGGTTATAATTCGGATGCTTCCAGGCTCCAGTATCGACATTTTTATGACACTTTCGCGTCGAATACCCAGTGACTGGGTACTGACCTGACCGAGGACTTGAATTGTTGACAGGCACTGGTCAAAGTAAAACTCGAGTCCCGTGCTTCCCTCTTTTGATTCGGGTAATCATGCCAGTATGATAGCTACAAACTGTCAAACAGGACTTGAGTAGGATTTCTGAGAGCTAAAGAACGGTTTATGCTTTGGTTGTAAAAGTGTTAAAAATCTATGTAGTCTTGTCTAAGTCAAATATTTTCTTCCAGGAGAAAACAGCTTATAACGCTAATTTGCACAAAACTATAAATACACTTGTTTCCATGGTGTAATTGAAAAGTTAATTTGCGTTCAAGTAGAGCACACATTTGATGGGAACTCTGGGACTGCATATTGAGGCCCAAGATCGAACGGAACCGATGGTGGCCAACCCTATGAGTAACGTTCCTTCACAAATATATTTTTTATGTTATTTGTGTGCCAACGCAAAATTTTTGTTTTTTTTTTGCTGTTTACCAACAGGATTACCATCGGTGCCTGTTTCGATCGAATCACACGCCTGACGAGGCAGCATTTGAATGGCGAATTAGCCGGATTGACTGTGCTCCTCGGCAAAACCGAATCTCCGAATAATTTGCGCTGCATTGCTCAATGTGGCGAATCGCTTCTGGTGCCTAACGTACTAAAGGTAGCTTTTTTGCAGACACTTCCTGATAACTTATCGAAAGTATAAAATCCAGTCTCATTGGGTGTAGAGGGGAATTTTACTTAGCTAATTCATATGAAGTACCATTTACTTGCTTGGATTTCAGTTGACCGTGCATGAAACAGCAAATTCTAAGTTCACAAAGAATCTAGGAATTACAGTACGTTGTTAGGAACAAAGGCACTTTGCGGGCTGTCCTTACTGCTCAAAGTTTCAACAACCCAAAAAAACAGCAAATTCTAAGTTCACAAACAGTCTAGAAATTAGTGTACGTTGTTAGGAACAAAGGCACTTTGCAGGCCGCCCTTACTGCTCAAAGTTTCAACAACCCAAAGTGCTCTTCAATGGCAACAGACCAAACAAAGTTACTTCAAAATGAAGCACATTCCAAGCAAGTTTGCTAAATTAGTCAACATTTGATTGCATAGCGCGCGCAATAACATTATGTTTTCCTCCCCCGCTTAACTTAGTGTCCGCGATATGAGAATGAATCAAGACAATACTGAATACAGATCAAATAAGCTTTACGAACCAGAGAGACGGGTATCTAGAATGTCGAGGTTTTGTGAAATACTACTACGTTGGAAAGAATTCCGGGAGATAACCTGGACGCGGTATCTTCCTACAGATCTACGTTTGTTGTAAACAGTAGGTTGCAAATTCCAAATTCTCACCTGTTTTGCTATCAGTCATGGACGGCGTCTACAAGCAAGATATGCATCTGGAGTTCTAGTTTGTTTATAATTTGTTCTAATTTGCAGTACCTGCGCGAAGACATTACAGTAAATCTGACAAACAACGCTATTACCGTCTATGGGAAGAATTCCAGTCATGTTTCTGAGGTTCTTCGAGCAATCGCCTATATTCGCACCCAACCGCATGTTAGTCCGGACTACGTGGCCACCGTCGCCCAGGCTCGTAACCTCACGCTGTCAACAAAATACAAGTATGTTTTCATGGAAATACTGAATTATCGTGACTCTCATTGGGTTATGCCCGATTTGAGAATTCTCATTCACTTCAACACTGTTTTGTATTTAGAAAACAGTACAAACACCGTATTTGACGAACGTACAAACTAACATGCTTCAAGCAAACTTTCCTGTTTTGAATACTGAGTTATTGTGACTCCCATTGGATTATGCCCGATTTGGGAATTCTCATTCATTTCAACATTGTTTTGTATTTAAAAAACAGTATGAACACCGGATTTGACGAACGTACAAATTAACATGCTTCAAGCAAACTTTCCTGTTTTTTTACTGACAAGCGGGGGTCTTGCCATACATATATCTGTTAACGGGCTGTTTGTAGCATGGCTGTGAGACTTGGACTATTCGGGCAGCAGAACTGAGACGTCCTCAGATGTTCACTAGTCGTTGTCTCAGAACCATACCTCATGTGGGTTGGTGTCGGCGAATCCGTAACGAGGCAGTTAGAAAGCGCGTTTTCGGTTGTGCAACAGGTGCTTCCATTGAAGAATGTATCCAGCACCAGAAGCTGCGTTGGCTGGAACAGGTGTTGCGAATGTCGAACCATCGTTTGCCGAAGAGAGTGCTGTTTTCCGTGCCAAACTCAGAGTGGCGTAACCAGAGAGGTGGCCGACCCTTGAGTTAGCAGAGGATTATGAAGGAGATCACGAAACGCTTGGGTGCTGTCAGTGCTACTCACCTTCCAGGAAGGGGATCGCGCGATCCTCACTATGCCTGGTTGGAGACACTACGAGGTATGGCGGCCAACGATGTTTGTGGCGTTCTTGTTCTCAGTTTCTATCCAGAACACTTGAGTGATAGTCTGGAGGTACAGGCACCTAGGAATGAATGTGGCAGGCTAGCGAGTGATTGACTGGCTGTCGGGAGACGGCTTCAAAACGGTTGTTTTAACATGATCGGATCAAACTTGAAATGGACAAAATAAAGTTTTGAGAACGTAAATAAGGTAGAACAATTGCTTAGTGACTTGTTCCAATCTGTGGAATTATCAAGTATTGCTGACTGACTGATCTGAAACGCTGGTTGTCCAACCTTGGGCTTGAGCGGTAGACTGATCCTGTGAGTGGCTAACCCGTACTGGATGACGAATTTTGTCCATCAGTTATGTGTGATCACCATTCAACCGAGCAGTGCGAAGATATATGGGGACGTTTGAGCAAAGATCACACAGACATGCTGACCTAAAAGGCATATACATCTTAAAAATCTTCAAAGGTTTGACGGTTTCTGGTAGCTAGGTATTAGCTGAACTCAGCTAGAAGTAGAGTGTTTATGGCATCAGCTGCTATCCAATTTCAGGATAATAACCTGGACGGTCAGAAAACGTCCGTCTGCTTCTAGCTTTTCTCCGTTCAAGAAGGACTGATAAGAGTCTCTTGCATCTTTCAGCGCCACAACATGAAAATATAAATGTACCTAGCTGTTTGAAACAGCCATTGTGAGTGCAGGATTATATTTATACTCCATAGAAATGTATGCCCGAGAAATTTACTACTCTCACATCTGCCACAGAAGTATATTCGTACAATGTGAAGACTTAATGAAACGGTCGTTGGTCACTTTCGTCTGAAAAAGGAGGTCATATGTCCCTGTGTTACCTGGGAGAACTCAAACAGGAAGTGAAAACAAGTTCATCCGTCACCAAGATGTATTCTGATATAAAGGTAAGAACAACGATATGCGTTAGAAACTCAATTCATGGTCTGGTAACATCTTTCGCCCCATCCAGTGTTCCGCCCTTACTAACTTTAACGAGGAGTACGCTTGCACCATGTTTTTATCAATAATGTATTAGCCACATCTCACTCACACTGGCAGACGATACTGTTTTCTTGAATACGGACCACTGGCTCTTCAGTTTCCATCTGCTATCGATTGACACTATTGCTGCCTTATTCAGTAGTATAAAAAGCAAAAAATATTTTACATTGTCAACAAGACATGAAAGTACTGTGGTTTTGTTGCCGGTTAACACATGTGCTACTCTGACTTTATGTGTATTTAGGTGCAGTCCAAATGAACCTGTTTCAATTCCGCCAAATGATATCCAGCTATACGTACCAAGGTTGGATCCCCCTTCGCCGCATGAGGTCGAAGTCGCCCATCCCATTATGACTGGATCGGAATGGGTTAATGAAGGCAACAAGTTAGAACGTCCATCAAGCTCGCAGGCTTCACTGGATCGGCAAGCTCCCCCCGGAACTGGTATAGATGGCGGTCGGATCAATCCCTCACTGTCCCTTTTTATACAGGGGTCAGATATAATCATTACCGAATTCCCCATCAACGACTTTGGAGTCCCCATATTCTCGGACATCAAGTTTGTGCTACCAGATGAATGTGAGTGTGAATGTGATAAGATGTTCCCCTATGCTTTCCAGCTCAAATATCCTATTAAAAAGATTACAGCTTTGTTCGTCGGGTACTTCGTTGGCTGACTTGGTTGTCCATAGGAGACGCACGTGACACTTCGGTGCACCTGCCATAGCGCATGTTTATGTCAACTGGAATTTTTCACTTTTGCATCGACCGCCTTCTTGGTTAGTGAGCAGTTATGTTACTCCAAGAGGGTGAAAAGTACCAGAGGAGACCGTCTTAGTTTTGTAACAAATTGTCCGCATCTTATTTTGAGAAGACAACCTATTTACTTCCTTTTACTAGTGTGTCTCTTCAAAAGGCCACACATGTACACCCAACTCCTCGGGAAAGACCACTGCAAAGGAACCAACCAAAAGTGACTTTCCCTGTAATTTTGACTATTTTTAGGAGAGTCTGCCAATAGAAGACGTTCTTGTAGGCAAAATAAAGTTTTTTTTGGTGGCTAGTCTCTTCAGGTTGAACTCACCAGAATATGGCCTGCTTGATTATGAAACATCATGCACATTAGTGTCGTTACTTGTCAGACTTGTGCGAACTTAACATGGCTTTGGACAACCTTGATACCAGACTTAAAAGGACGCTCAAAACAAAGTGAAAATATTCACAATGATATGGCAGACGATCTGCGGTCCGTACGAGGGTCTCTGGTAGAGTTTTATTTAGTGCTCTTAAGGTGATGTCTTTCTACTTCTACCGTGCTGACGGGGTCTGTGGACGATATAGCTATTGTTTACAAGGGCCTGTGAGGTCACACTACGAATGCATTATATTAAGTGTATCAGTGCATTATTATCACACCATGGGGTGCATACATTACTATTTACAGCACGGATATTCCTTTCAGAGGGAACACTGCCCATTTGAGACTAGCTTGACCGTTCCTAGTAATTACGCTTTGTCATTCAGCAGTATTACTCAAAAAGTGTGAACGGGCGCCTGCGTCCTTTATCAAGATGCTCTCTTCCACCTCAAAATCGTCATAGAAGCATTAATTCGAGTTGCTGCGACACATTAAGAAGGACTTCAAATGAACAGTGTAAAATTTTCTTTAGGTTTTACGCCTGTACGGGCCAAAAATATCGTGATCTTCCTCACCAGTGAAACCTACGTCAGCATGTAGTCGCACAAAACACCTAAGAAATGGTATTAGAGCTCATGTTTAAACTGTACTTTGATCGATCTCAGATATGTAACCGGGTGCAAAAGAAGGCAGTGAAATCGACCTCCTTCGCTTAGCTTATTGGAAACAGTATTGCACCCTCCGAGAACCCAGGTGTGGTTGCTTAAGGAGAAATGCGTGCATGGTTTCTCCTCGGGAAACTCGTCCAAAAGAATTCGTTTGACGAAAAAGAACGTCTTCAAATTTTAAAATATAAGGTTCTTTGGAGTTCTCTTGTAGGATTGCTGCAGCAATTTCGGAGGAAGATAAAAGCATGTCTCCTTGGAATTGTTTTTTTAAGTTGCAAGGCTGACAAACTTTCCACATAGAAACCGTCCCATCAACGACTCATTTGTGTTTGTCATACATTTTGTCTCTCATATGACTTGAAATCAAACTGACCGCGACACTCAAGAACCATTATTAGCCTTGTTTAAACAAACTGGTCCCTCCCATACTTCTTGAGAATTCCCTACAGTGTAGACCGTTTGACCAGCACTGAGAAAAAGCTTGTAAGCCCCCCTTTATCTGCTTTCAACGTATATTTCACTGCCACCGTGCAGGAATATTTCTCACACTTCTGGGCCAACGAATTATCCATTCCTATTATTATTATTATTATTATTATTATTATTATTATTATTATTATTATTATTATTATTATTATTATTATTATTATTATTATTATTATTATTATTATTATTATTATTATTATTATTATTATTATTATTATTATTATTATTATTATTATTATTATTATTATTATTATTATTATTATTATTATTATTATTATTATTATTATTATTATTATTATTATTATTATTAT